AGTAACAACAGAGACAAAACAAAAACTTATTGAAGGCCATATTGGAACCCTTTGAAAGGATTATCTGTAATAAGCTTTATTTACTTAGAGAGGAGGTGAATATGATATACATGTATCCGATTGTTTCGGATTATGAAGGGATTGCATTGCCCAATCCAAGAATCGGGGAATTAGTCTGATACTACCGATCTGTTCAATTACTAAGATATCAAGGTGTATTCGGTCTGTGATCTCCTTTTGATCATTGGGATGGGAACAAAAGTTCAAGCGTTGGTCTACTATCTATATAAACATATATTAAATGCTTCTTATAACTCTTATGAATAGTGCTTTCATCGACTCCATGAACACATATCATCAACTCTTCAAACAGATATGAAATATTGTTCAATTCTGCTATTGAGCACGAATGATCGAAATCATAATATTTACGACTGCAACCTACAAAAATATATTGATAGAGAAGTAACATTTTCTGGGTCAGATGCGACTACAAAATTCTACTTGAAAACGATCTCGTTTGGAAGCAATTACTTTACCAGATTATTACCTTGATAACAGCTAGTTGGAATGAAAGCCGGGTAAAACATTACCCTGATCACAATTTTAACCTATATCTTTATGCTCTCAAACATACATCACTACACTAAAATAGTATCATATAGTTTCTTGTGCTTTATTTACCTCTTCTCTTCATTATCTCTTAATATTATTGTTCAGAGTTGTGGAAGGTGGTAGAGATGGTAACTATATACAGAAAACACAAACAATCATGCTTCTAATTGCAATGGAACAGAAATTTGTCTGTCGTTGGATCTATCTCGTATTCGTTTCAAGACAGATAAATGAAATATAGTAAATCATACATGATCCTTCAGTGAGTAAAACGCTTGCTCTTTTAACCTTGAGATACGATTGAGTGTTCTACCGACTGAACATAATATTAGAGATCTATCGATAGATCGGAATGGAGTATGTGATGTGTTCAATTCACTCATTACTCATTCATTCGCCATTTTCTTTCTGATTTGAGAATCTTAACAAAGATGATAAATGGCCGTAACCAGGTTTTTTGTGAGGCAAAATCCAGTTGTCTTTGAAGTCAGTTATGTTTTTTATTTGTAAGGCTTTCGGTAGATTTCACCTACATCGTAGACATCAAATAAGCATATATTTGATCAATTCTATTATTATCTTATTTTGTCGAAATCGGTATTTGCCTGGATGTAGTTACGGCACTGTGATATATGTAAATATACAAACGTGTTTTGTAAAGAAAGCTGTACAGTTTCTTTCATTGTATACATGACATGATAATATTTATACAAGACTTACGAGTTAGCCTACTTCAGCTCTACTCACTTGTCTAAACTCGGTATGAGAATATAATTAGATCCACCCACATATTATACTGTACCATGACTCTTTTTTATAAATACAATAATTTATTGCTCTGGTATAAAGAACACTATATCAATCTAGCGATCAAGAACTACCTAAATTAGAATTTTGTGTCGTATTATACACTGACATACATTTACTTTTTAAAACTCAAAATACTCTTGAGACTAATGAAAATGCTTCCATTGAGATGAACAGTCTTTTTTAGTCTGTTCAATCAATCAATGACGGCTTTTAGAAGTAACTGTCTCAGAAAGTAAAATAATATGAATCCATCAGTCTAAAGAACTTCGTAACTTTTTTTCATATAAAAGACTTTTCAATATGAACAGACTATAGATCAGGATCAATATTTTCACCGCAAAGGCGTTCACTTGTAATATGGTAAAGTTACCTTAATGATCAAAAATACTAATAACCATAATCAATGTGAAGCTACAGTCCATTGATTTAAACTGCGCTATACCATCCCATACATTACGTTTATTTACCATCTGACAAAACACATGTAATGGGTTAATTAAGCATCTGTAACTGAACTCAACATTTCCTTATCGCTTCATTATATTCAATAACTCATCCGTTCTTATTGATACTATCCTGACATCTATCAATAAAAATACCCTTTATAATATATCATTAATGTAAAATAATTATTACCATGGTTATCGGATTTCAATAACAGGTGAATGTTGTATCCACGAATTCAATAAAGTGAATTCGTTCAAGCAAAATGCAGAGCACAGCAGACAACAAAATTAAGGAGAACAGTGTGCTATTCCTCTCAACAAAATAAAACCGGTTTAAGTTTCCGAAAAGATTTTAGTGGATTGTTTAACACATGTCAGACAACTTCATCAACCATAATCGGATATATATTGCTACTATCAATTACAACGGCATGTCAATACGTCAACCTGTGGATAATGTGGCTTTGCAGAAAAGCAAAGTGCCAATGATAATACGCAGGAATATACGACAGTAATCACAACATCGGTTCGAATGTATTGATTAAAAATAAATAATAATTAAATACTATACTTATAGACCTGTTGCAGAAACATTTTATGTGTGAAAATATTCTACATTAACAAGAGGGAGATTTACCGAAATATTAATAAAATTCTGAATATGGGATCCGAATCTGCCACAACATACATGGTCAAAGTCGTAAATTTGGTTAAAAAGTAATGATAATGCTTTGCTAGTACTAGTAATATTGCAATTAACGTTATAGTATCAAAACTTCCAGAAAATATATATTGTTAATTGACTTCCTTAATATTGTTTACAAGTTCAAATTGCCACTAACTTACATATAACATTTAGACACTGATATATTTATAATTAATTGGCCTCGTCAAGGGAATATCTAATCTGTCTGTATTCAAATCATATCTAATTCTCTTAGATGTCAAATTATCTTTGTATTTCTGCTAATGTAAAATGTCGTTTTCTTCATTGGATCTAAAGACTAAATAACAAAAACAATTTATGTATAAGACATCGGCTCTGGTCAAAGATTCGTTAGTCTAATTCTCACTCAAACTGATACAAAATGAAATGGTTTCCCAAGTCTTTTAAACTTACAATAGGAAGGTACCATCAATAATAGGTTATAACGGCTCAGAGTAACACAGATATCAGATAACATTTTGATGTAAAAGAAGTATATTCAGAGATATGATAACCATGTATAGAGTCATCTTAGTCTTCTCATATCTCTCTTATTATTCATGACGTATCAGTTCATCTGTGGCAGTTTTAAACATACCTTAGAGACAGAGTATCAGCCTTATTAGTTCATGTATTGTTAGTCTTACGTCTGGGCAGAAATATAGACAAGGATAATGAATAGTGTCATTTGAATGGTACCAGAACAAAAGACCTGTAGAGAACAAGGAAAATGTTTTTAGAAAATGTCGGTGATGAAGTGATAATGGTATTCATTTGAGCCTTGAGACCTATGTTCGATTTATGAACGTAAGCTGTTTTTGTTCCTGGAGTACTATTCGATCATTCATTTCAAATGATATCCAGTGCCGTAAGAAGTAATCTGTAAACATTGTAGAAAAACGACACTCTGAACAACCATTTTTAATCACTCTTTAATTACATCCATCCAATTGTTTGGATACGTTCTCATAGTTATCACAAGCATCGCATGTGAAGGGCATGAACTCTAATTGACAGTCCGTTTCATGTCGACTTATAAAGCCAAGTCAGAAAATGAAAGTGATATTCTCTCCACTAATACCAACCGCCGACGCAATTTACACGCAATACTATCTAGAGTAATTTCAGGTTATTAATTATTCTCTTCCTGCTATCATTTAACTATAATCATATTATTGAATAGCTTAGTACCAGTTTCACGGTTCAGATAAGCACCGAGAATTTTGTCGACAATAGCAATTTAATTATTAAATGTCGATATCTTTCAGACGAAAGGGGCTGATCGAGAATGGCAGATATGATTAGTTAACATGAAATAAGCATTTAATTTGCCTCAAACCGACAGAATCTTGATATTTAATGTCAGAGTCATTCTATTTGTTTCAACTGTTTTCAATCCCTCAGTATACCATATTTTGATTATATTCATAGGGTTTTTATGTTCTAGTAACTAATGGTTCATATTCGCTATTTAGTTTTCTTTAAATGATTCTTTTGGGGACCAGAATTCAAGATTAGACTTTGATCATTTTTTATTGTTTGAGCATATGACTAGATGCTATACTTACAGGCTGTAGCTACGAGGGGCAAGGAGGGTGTGGGGAATTATATCTGATATATTTGATGAAATAGTTCAACGCGACTGACTGCAAATCGATGAAGATAAGGTAAAAATCTATATAATACCGTGAAGATGAAAATAATTCCATACAAACATAATATTTAAGTTGTTTGATTTCACTGGAAATCATTTGGAAAGTCTTGTTTATCCACATTGTAATCGATCTTTCACAGTATTGACTATAAGAATTGAACAGTGGCTCTAGAACATAAATATTTGTTGATCCTCATTTAATTACATCGGAATATAATGTAGTCTAAAGGTCTTTGCTAATTATATTGTTGTTATTTTTACGAAGTTTATATCTACTTAAATGGACAACTGGTAATGCGACTTGACCTTGTGTCTGATTTTCTGCTGTTCTGCGATCTGCCAGCGACTTCCAATTGTATTACAGACTCATAATTATTATTCGGTTTATAAGCGATGTCTTCTGTATGCTTCTGATGTTTTTGGATAAATACCCTCTAATCGTTTGACATTTAAAACTCATTCAATAAATTAATATCTACTTTCGGTTTTATTATGAGGGATGAACATTGGCTAATTTATATGGAGGACAAATCACAAAGATCTTGAAATAAGATATTTTGAACCTAAATGAAATTGACAAACTGTATCATAATGTAAATAATACATGTAAGACTGTGTTCACAGTACAAAACCATCAAACTGACAAATCGTGAAACATTCTATATCCTTGAGAGATAATTTTGGATGTATCGAATAAATGCCCCCAAATTGGATAATTAGATGGCACACTTGTATCAAGCTATCAAATTGAATCAAAGAATGTACTTACAATTAAAAGCATATTCCGAATATTCCGTATCATCAACAGCTAATAAAACTATAACTCGAAAGTTGGACATGTCTGGTTTGTCCAGTGTCATTTTGACTGAATTTGAAACAAAAATCACACAGTAGTGCCGGTTACTTTCAGGAACAGTGTAAGATGTATAAAGTAAATATCCTACAGGTTAGACTTGCGATATACTGATATGTATTCGACTCGGGTATAGATAGAAGTTCTTCATATATTCAACATCCAATAGTTTATAGCTAACAAGATACGCAATACTGATCTGTATTGGACGCGTGCCCAACAATGGCACTAGTAAAGGTTGATTCACATTGAAGTGATCGATGTACATTGATTGGCAAATATATATGACATACATGGCTCATATGTTGTCTGTATAATGCATGACGAACCATGACCTTTTTAAAAAGAAAGCCAAAGAATAAAACGTTAAAGAGATGCAGAAATATTGTATTTAAGCATCTATTGTGACAATGGGCTATGAAACATACAATATTAATTTTGACATAAATCAGGTTGAGCTTATAATTTTAAAGTTAATCATGATGTCCATAGAGGTACAACATTAAAATATATATATTATATCTCTAGATTGATTCGTAGATAACAAGTTAACAACTGCTTCTAGCTTAGGCTGAAAACGCAGCTTGGTAGCTAAAGCTGAAATCGCAGGTTGTTAGATAACAAGATTACTTCTCTTCTAGCTGGAACTTAAATCGCAGGTTTTTAGCTAACAAGTTTACATCTGCTTTCATCTGAAGCTGAAATCGAAGGTTGTTAGATAACAGGTTAACATCTGCTTTCATCTATGGCTGAAATCGCAGTTTTTCATTCTTCAGAACTTCTTCAGTTATAATCATGATAATTCTTTTGAGATGATCGCTAATAGAAGTAGTTGGCTTGATTTGGTTAGATTATTTGTTGTGGATTAGATAAGTAAAACTGTTAACAGAACATAGGGAGAAAGAAGATGACATATGAAACAAAAGTACTATGAGACAGTTTTGAGTAAATTAAATACAAACCAAGGGTAGAATTGGGCCTTTAAAAGTAAAGAAAAAACATAAAAATCCACAGAATTACACTATAGTCCCATTTTATTTCGCAATTCGTGCCGAAAACCATCAAAGATCTTAGAAGTGGTGACCTCTAAGAAAAGTTAGATTTCTTAGAAATATGAGTTGTTTGAAGGACATTTCTCAAAATTTAGTTTTATGGGTAGAAAATGAAATGGTATGCGATAATAGAAGTATAGTACTTTTATCTTATTATTGTTAGTATCATACACTTTATCTTGGTGCCAAATACCGAATTGTTTAGTCTGTGATTATCTAGTATTTTCCTACAATAACGAGTGGTACTGAATGAAGGAATTGTAAGGTGTAACATCGTATAGCAGCAGATGACAGATCAGAGGACTTTCCGATGTCAATGTTTCGCACATATGAACAAGAAGAGTGGGAAAGCCAGATCCATATTCATATAGTTTTAATTTTGCCTGGTTGTATGTTTATAAGGACATTGTACTTTTGTTTCATGTTGTTATATGACTAATGAAGAAGTTCAAGGTGGTATTTATCTTTAAAAGACTAGGTAGTCGCTTAATCACTCATTTATTTTTAACATTAAAAGGATTGGTTTTGTTCCTAAGATATTCTAGGTATCCTGGCGGTATCATAAACAATATCATCAATATAGTTACACTGCTTTCAGTAGAAGACAGCATCCTCTTATCTTGATACAGTCATGATATGGTACATTAACCGCAACAAATGTGATACGAGTTTGCACTAACAGTTAAATTTTGGGTCCGAAAGTATATTATTGTAGTGGATAATACTTGCAATCTGACTTCATTTCACCAGTACATGATCTCCTTGAAAATGAAAAATGAAATGAATGGAGTTTTACGTCCTACTTTTCTGCACCATGTGGGCTAATGAAGACGGGCAACGCCATGCAGGGTGCGATGAGGGAAATTTTGCCAGGACAGCGGCATTTTTCGATTTCCAACTGTCGAGGGATCTTTAACGTGCACATCCTGTAGCACACGGGGCCTCGGTTTATTGTCCCATCCGAACGACTAGACGCTTTTTCCATGTCAGTCCCTCTTACCTGCATCACTGACAGGGGGAAACATGATCTCCTTGAGTAATCGGCTTTGATATAATGCTAAACATAGCTTTGAGCTATATTCAAATATTGGGAGCATAGAGCTTGATCTGTATACTTCTCTGTTAAGGGTATATGTCGTAATGAAAGGAGACCGCAATTCCAGACATTCAATTGTTTTGAATTGTTATTCTTTAAAGCATAATCGGCGTGTTACCTCGACATGACGTTCTGGGAGTCCACAATAGCTTATATTGTTATTCGGATACATTTATTACCAACGACAGTTCAGTCTAATTTTAAATTCAGTCTAGTTCTACACTTTCCATTAAATTGTATTTACCTATGTAATTGGAATGCATATAACGCTCGTAATATTCACAAGTGATAGGCCTAGCTATTGTACTAAAACCACAATTCAGTAACATATTACTACACTTTGGGTAAATGGTGTCTCACCGCTATCGTGTTTCTATCTGAAAGATAGATGTGCTCGATAATTGTGTATGTTCGTTTACCAAATCATGCAACACTCATATCTAAAGCGATCTTTCAAGGGCCTTCTAGAAACATTGGTGTGTACATCTAAATGATAAGCAGAATAAATAAATAAATAGTTCTCCTGCCCTTTGATAAGAAACACTAACTACAGAATACAGATGTTATAATATTCAGCTACAAAGTAAAAGCAAATTATAAACATGTCAGCTCTAATCATAACGCCATTCAAAAACAGCGATACCGATATCAAACGTTACTTTATTGAAGGGTTTTAGGTGATAACAACTGAATTGGTATTGTATAGGTAAGTAAACCATACTACAAGCGCATAAGAGAGCGAAATAATTATGTGAAAACAAACCCTTTTGCTTAAAATCTAAAAGCTGACACTAGATCTATCCTTCCAGATATTTCTTGTCACTTTTGACTATTTCTTCAAATGGCCTTTTAGCTGAGAACAGAAAGTCATCCGATCGAAAGAACACGATTACGAACTGCTTCTTATACCTGATTGTAATAACCACTTTTCTTGTATGATTGGCTGTTTTCGCTAGCGTACAATCCAATCAAATGGGTAGATTTCCAAACTTCACTTCCGTAGTACAAAAGAGATGGTCATTGCAGTCAAGTTATGAGATACAGTGCGTATTAGTTTGACTTGCCGACAATTATTGAGATATTCCAGCCTCTGATGGATATTTTAACAGTTGTCAGCTGGAGTAGAGTCAGAAGAAACAGACCCTGTTAAATGGGGATTTTCCACACCTCCAAAGAAGCGTTTTCTCTAACATAATATTGAATTACCTTGAAGATGATTGTAAATTAGTGTTGGGCATCACCGTAACTTTCGATTTGTTAGTACCACGTGACTCTGTGAACTTTTGACTGTGCACGCAGTTTTAAATGGCCGATGCCAGACCAGTTTCGCCAAAAAAAACTTTGATGAAACCAGAGACATGATAATGGTGTAGGGAGAATGATGGTATGACTGAACTAAAAAAATATTCATCTTTCCAAAAATACTTGGGTTTTGCAGATTCAAGGTCTCTACACCAGCTGGAATGGAGACAGATGTTCCCGTCTACATTTTGACCTAATAACGCGAAATGTACATATATCACTGGAAGCTAATTAACTGAATCATACCTAGATTGATGGGTTAATTATTATTAATAATCTCTACCATAACATAGTAATTAACTACAGCATCTGTATTGCACATGTGTAACTGTCCCCTGGTTACAACACCAAGAAACATCAACCCATCCTTCAGCAACATCTACATGGCAGTTTCACCACAGGACACAGACTGTTCGTTAGAATGCTCACACTGTTCGAAAAAACCTAACTGTTCAAAACTAGCCTAGTTGCCGCCATGTACGGGTTAAATGCTCACTCCAAATTAACGTCAGAAACATCGTGAGTGGGCCATTCAACGGTATCATTGCGGCATCAGCTATGGAGGTCCCTCTCAGATTAGAGTCGGTACTGTATTTCTACCGTAGATGGCAGAGTACGAGTGTGACCAAGCATTATGGTATGGGGTGCAATCGACATCAATCAGAATACTGGATCAGGCTGAGGCCACGGATGTATCCAAATTTTCAAGACTCTGAAGCCACACCTTCAACATTAGAACGCCCGACCACACACTGCCATAGTCACCAGGGCCTTTCTCCAATAGCATAACATTACATCCAGTTTTCCTCGGGGTCTGGGCGCAGATTCCAAAGGCGTCTGTAAATCATTGTACCAATCAATCTACAGAAGATGACTGGCTGTTATCAACGCACAAGGTGGAAACACCAAGTACTGACTTTAGCTCTCTCTCTGTGAAGATCACAAGATCAGACAATCGCTATGACATTGCAAATTACATGAAATACGCCAAAACAATCCTTTGTTCCAAAGGTGGTTGTTTTCTGACAGTTATCTTTGACATTCTGGACAGCATTCTGTCAAGTTCAAACTCTGATCTTACAGATTAATCATAAGACGTTTATATGTAGTCAATGAAATTGTTATCGGAAACAGTTTAAGAAGATAATTCAAAGTCCTCGATATCATTGATACACTTGCAAAAATTCAACACAATGGGATTAACAGTAGTATCGGTGATAACGTCAATTTAACCAAATCGTACTGCCTTATTCACATTGTATGTAATAAGACCTTAGCAATACAGAACACGTATTTGTAGCATCAAAAATTCAAAAAGCTAGTACGCGTTAGTGGTTAATGGAATGAGGTGATTCGGCGTTTCAAGGCATCTTCTTGAATCCGTGGCATTCAACATCTTTTTAAAGTTCATATCGAATAAACGTACTGACTAGGCCTACAATACTGCAATCCATCGGTGTTTGGTCACACAGGACTGAAAGCAACCTCTATTTTGCATTCATCGATGCTATCTAGTCTAAATCCAGCAATTGATTCTCCCATCTGCCACAAGTGGCTAATAGTTGTCGAAAAAACAGTTTCCTTCTGCCTTCTGCTAGTCACAAGGTCGTCTTGAACCACTCTGAAAGGAATATCTATAGAAATAAATTTTCCATAAAAG